TGGGGGGGTGCAGATCAATGGTGGGGGGGGAAGGAGGTATCTGTACCTGCTCCTAGGAGTGGGGCTGGTGGGAGAGGGCGCACATGGGAAGCCGGATGGCGGGGGGGTTCACATGGTGGCCACCACTGCATTGCACTGCTGCTGTTGTGCCCTGCGCTGCCTAGCCGCAGTTGGCCGCACAGCTCTGCGGGTAAGCGGCGCAGCAGCGTGGGGTGGTGGCTGCGTGCCACCCAGCTGGCTGGTAGGTGGAAAGGCGGAGGGTCACATGCAGCAGCTGCCACTGCACCATACCGCCTGCCCATGAAGCCATGCCCACGGAGCTGTGTGACCAGCTGTGGGAAGGCAATGTAGGTCACAGCACTGGCCACTGTGTGTGAACCCCACCGTTCATGGGCATGGCTCTGCAGGCAAGTGGCGTGGCAGCAGCCACAGTGTGAGCCACCACTGCCACCACCACCACACCACCTGCCTGGAGAGCCATGCCTGTGGAGCCGTGCGGCTGGCCATGGGAAGGCAGCATGGTAGCAGTCGCTGCATGCAAGCTCCCCACCTGCCAGCAAGTCACGTGGCACATGTGCAGCCCACACACAGTGGCTGCCACTATACCGCTGCCACTGTGCCCTATACCACTTGCCTGCAGATCTGTGCCTGTGCAGCCGTGCGGTTGGCTGTGGGAGGGCAGCGTGGGGGCAGCAGTGGAGGTGCAATGCAGTGGCGGCTGCCATGTCTGAACCCCCCACCCTGGATGGTGCACGTCTGGACTGCAGAGGGGCACTGTGGCCCTCGCCCCCCGAGCCCTGGTCCTGGGCACAAGGTACAAGCTGAGGTTGGGGGCAGGAAGGAGCTGTGGTGTGCTGCATGGGGCTGGCAGCACCCACTGTGTCCCTCCTCCAGGTAAGAAGGAAAATATGGGAACCTGCCAGTGGAGAAGCCACCACCGTATCCCGGGGTGCACTCCGTCCCTGCCCACCCAGAGTGTCCACCCAGCTGGCGGGCACTCCATGTCTTTTCCCAACACCTCCTCACTCCCTTAGCCTCCAGCCAGCTCCTCCTACAGCCCTGCCCTGCAACCCCCAAGCTCTACTTACCTTAGGCTCCAGGAGCAAAGATGGAGCCTCAGCCCAGCCTTGGCTGACTGAGAGGCTCAGGTCCCACCCTTTCCCCCTCTCCCTCCCCCTCTGGGCAGGGTTGGGGGTTTTCTGCCCCTTTGCAATCAGCTCTTGCAGGCTGGAACTCATCCAGCCTGCAGAGCTCCTTGCAAAAGGGGGAAATCTGCGGGTTTCTCTGCTAAAAGAGAAAATCTGCATTTTCTTTGATAAAAATGAGAAATCCAGGATTTTCTCTGTTTTTATGTGGGAAATGGAAAACCCAGATCCCTGGCTTATGACACTTCTTAGTTACGTGGTCAAAATTTTGCCCCACAAGATCCTTGCCTTCCTCAGTATACAAAATAGATAAACCGATGCAGGGTCCCCACTGAATGAAGCTGTTGTCTGCAGGACCCCATATCTTACTCCTTGTTTTAATAAAAAACTGGAAATCCACAATAATTCTACCATGTGCAATCTAAATTATTTTGGCTGGCTCCTTTTGGATAGTCCTTTAGTTATCCAGCAGAGCAGCTGCTGTGGCATAATCTCACTTCATTCTGAGCACATGGCCCAAATATTTCCATCTCCCTTTCTGGATAACTTTAGGAATAAGGAGCTGTCAATCTTAGACAAATTTTGATATCTGTAATAGATTAATTCTGTTTAACAGTTACCAGTTTTTTAAAGCATTTGATCTGTCTGCACCTCTACAAGATTGGCAGCTTTCACAACTCTTTGTTAATAAGGGGGTGCATTCCAGTTGAACATTCACAATTTGAGCTTAAGAGGAAAAATATTTTGATGAGCAAATCTTAAACTAAGAAAAACATCTATTGCCTTGTAACTCTAGTCTTATTTCCTACTAGGCATTTCCATGTGCTTGCTGCTTACTACCAAAGCACCTGAACTGACTTGCTGCTTGCTTTCCTTTGCCTTCTGAAGCAACACTTGAGTCAGGGTGTTGCTGGACTTTCATAAGATGCGTCGGGGGGGGTGTCGCAACTGATTACTAAATCGGCCTATGATGTTGGACAGTCCTTCAGACCTTATTTGCCTGTTGCCTGAGCTGTCAGAGTTGAGAAGCCAACAAAATCTAAATCTTTTAGTGTAGGGATTGGCAATCCTTTAGCAGCAGTGGGATGAATTAACACAGCTCAGTCCTCCTCAGGCCAGGGGTGGCAGTTGACAAAGGTGACCTGAGAAAGGGCACAAATGCGTGAAACCTTGTCCAAGAACTTTCATACCTTTTATTGGACCCAACAGTATAGTTATCACAAAGAATTCTCTCTCACCCCTTAAAGGCCCAGACAAAAAGTACTGAACATCCTGGAACTAGGTGACTAGACACTCAGGCTTGAACAAGGTGGGCACTCAATTAGGCAGAGCTCCATAGAGCCCTACCTCATTCAATGGATAGTTTAAAAGCTACACACAGCACTTTATGCATCACTTACCCACATGTGTATACATGGGCGACTGGTGCCTCCTCAGCCTGGGAGGGCACCCACAGAAGTCAGCAGTAGTGGTGGGGACGGGGCTGGCGAGCACCCACAGAAGCCGGCATCGGCAGTGGGGGACGGCCCTGTTGGGGGGGGCACGTGCCCCTCCGTACCCCTCCTACCAGTCACCTATGTGTGTATACTGTGTAGCATTACTTCATTTAACTGGCAGATTTCAGTAATTAAGAGAAATTGCATCATCGGTAGCTCACAAGTGGAGAGATCCCTTTTCAAATGTAAAAGAAAACTAGCTTTTCCTGGCACCCCCAAAGGCACTTCACTCCTTGGTGAAAGCCGTTTTCCTAATAACTTTTGAGTTGTATTAAAAAGTGTGCACGTGTGTGCACGTGCATGCACACACCCCCACTGTCCCCCAGCCAAAGCAGTTTGTTTTCCAAATGCAGTAAGAGAGAGAAGAATGGGACAAATGTTTTCCCTTAAGTGACTGAAACAATCAAATTAAAATAACAAAAATAAAAAAACATCACACATGCAAACACACACCCTGCCAGTATGGAGCAGACTAGGAAAGTTTCAACCTAAGATATTAAAATTTGATTAAAGAAGACTTGAAAAGCAACATGCATGAAGCCTGAATGGTAGCTGTTCATTGTTGCTCCACTTATAGTGTCACCATTTGAGAACGGAGATTTAATGCAAGGAATATTACATTAACAATAATATAACAGTGCACTCCACCTTTTAAGTTCCATTAAAAAAAGAGAGCAGCAGAACTATAAAAGCAATTTTTTTCTTATCAACGGGCTCTATAATTATCTACACTGCTGTGTTAAATATAATAAATCTACCCACTAGCCGGGTCTGACACTATAAAGTACTCAGGTTTATATGAAGCAGCTATCTTTTCAAAATTGACCATGTAAAGTGTGACATTGTGAAAAGAGGAAGGAAAAATGCAAACATCTGTCGTCACACATCACTGCACGTTTTACTTAATGAGACAGGCTAGAATAGCAGCTTTGATAACTTTCTTAATCACCACAGAATTATGAAGTTCAGTTCTGCAAGTAAAAGATAACAATGGAATACAACTATGAAAGGGGCAGTAGAGAAATCTAGAAGTGCCAGAGGAAACTAATTTTTTGTATTATTTTCCAAATCTGAGGCTTAGAGTAGATGTAATTTAAACAAGCAAAGTGCACCACAGTGAGGGATTCCAATGATTCACATGTTCCTATAATATGGCTTTTCAGTAAACCCATCCACAAGTATAAAATGCTTCCTTTTCAGCAAGCAATACATATAATATGCTCAATGTTTTCAACTACCCAGGAAAGCTTTACATTTCCATTCTGGTGGGCTGGTGGGTGTTTTTTGTTCCACAGAAAGAGGGTTTTTTTTTTCTTTTAAAACTTCTATGTGAAAAATACCACACTCTGAGCAAAGAGGGAAAAATACTGAAGAGGAAAAATGTTTTAAAAGAAGTTTCCATATGTTGAGAAAGTAAAAGGAAGGGCTGGTGGCTCAATTACCTTTGCGCTCCTAAAACACATTTCTGATTGCTCTATCCCGCTCCTCTACATTTGCAGAAGTCATTCCAAAGCAAGTTGTACTTCTGGCAAGTTCCAATAAAAATGTATTCCTAAGTTTTACTTCACTGAAGGATTTGTAGGTAAGCAAATAAGCTTGCTGTTTGAGGGTCTTATGCTTAGGTTACATTATAAATTCACTTATTTGTCTTTACCTCTCTTTCTTCCTGCTCCCTCTCCTGGAGTTTGTGGATCCTTTGGCTGGCTGCTTGCACTGAAATAAACAAATTGCAGTCAATTAACCAGCTGTCTTAAGTCAAAGGGAAGCCTGCCTGAAAATGGCTTCAACACCAGAGCCCACTGCAAGAATATCACTCTGCACAAAGACTGGGTCGTCCCCGTCCCCTGCGCCCAACTGGGGTTGCTTACCTGAGGAAAAATGCCTTTGCCAATATCTGCAGGAGGTGTTCTACAGTGCTAACTATGGGGACACAGTACTAAAATTGTGCCCTTGTGCTTTCCAGGAGCCAATATAGAAAGGCAGCCAACTTCTCTTATACCCATATTCCTTAATATTGCTGACAAGTTACAGTAACCTAACTCAGCACCTCAGAAAAGTTCAAACCATCTTGTAAACCAGCGACTAGAAACAGATGGGGCAAATACTATGTTTTGGTTGTTTCTTTGTTATTGGTTTCCTTTTTTTCCATTTTTCATGATTAAATAAAAAAATTCAGTTGGAGCCAGTCAATCCTGGCGCTATGAACATGTTTTAGTGATAACATTAACTATATTCACAGCCAATTTCAGATTTATTTAACCATATTCTACATGTTGGGCAGAGTGAAATAAACTCATTTTTCATCAAAGCACTTCTCTTACAAACACAACTTAACTTTCCTGAAATCTCAATTACACTTCTATAATCCTTAAAGCAGTAGTACAGCTTAATTATCTTGCAGTGTTAAAACATTCACAGGTGAGGTACTGATAGCCAGGTTGCACTACCTTTTAAAATACATTAGGATACAGGCTTCATTTACAGCATCACATAATAAGGCTTTTTAACACCTTTATTACAAGCATACTAATTTATGGGCACCCCATATATCTCCCCAGGACAGTCTTAAGGAGCACCAAGGTGAAACTATGAAAGCAGATGGAATGGAATCAGTTTGATGCAACACTGGGTCCATGCCAATAAGCTCACTCTCCTGGTCTTGGCCCATAGCCTCCCTTGTGTGGTGCTGGGTAAGTGACATCAGTCCCAGAAGCTAACATGCACAAAGTGAATATGGCTTGCTTCACTGCTTCTCTCCCTAGCACAATGCTGGGTAGAACAGACAGGCCTATACACATCAGGATCCATATAAATCCATATAAGATTAAATAGCATGTTTATGCAACATACTGGAGGTGAAATATTGCAAAAAGTAATAGTGGGGAAGAGAGGCGGAATGGGAACACACCTGGCAAACAATTTATTTGTCTCTTTAGATTAAACTTTGGGGTTACTGCCTAATTTCCTGAATCAGGCAACTGTGCTGCTTGCTGATATGAAAGTATAGAATACAAAAGCACAAACAAAATCAGTAAGACAGGGGCCTCAGTAGAGAAATTCTTGTATACAAGTAAGCAGTTAACAAGAATGTACCAATGCCAGTTTCATAGTAATAACAGGAGCCTTCTTTCGCAAACATACAAAGTTTGGGATAATACCTAGTTCTTAAATAGCACTTTTCATCTGTAGATCTCCAAGTACTTTATAGAGGTCAGTATCATCACTTCACATCAGAGAATGGAGGCATCGAGATGTTAAGTGACTTGGCAAAGGGCACCCAAGCAGCACTGTGGCAGGGCCTGGAACCGAATATAAGGAACTGAAGCTCAGTCCAGTGTTTTATCTACTTGATGACACTGCCTCCCATTACAAATATGTAGGGCAAGTTTGGCTACCCTTCTACAGTACGAAAAACTCTTAGTGAATTCAATGGAAGCTTTTAGAATAACATTAACAGCAGCCAAATTAGGGGAAAACAGAGCAGAAATACACTTGTTTTACAGCTTCTAAAGTTGCACGGATCTGAGAATTAAGCATTATCATGATCAATGACTGAACTATATTCCAGCATAAAATATGATTTGTGCTAACTCTGCTAAGTTCAAAGTACTTTAAATTGTTTTCTTTAATGTAATATTTTAAAAGGAATAAAGAGCTTCTTGCTTACATCTCTTGAAAGCTTCATTCAGACCGTCATGCATCACCTGCTCACATTTCGGAAGAATTTGGTTATTTGTCTCATAGATCATGTTCTTGAGGCTTTCAAGAACTCTCAGTTCACGGAGGCCACGTTTTTCCTGTAAGAAAAATGGAAGAAGGAAAATCTTTGTGTCTTGCATGTTTTTACTGAATGGCTGATAATCATGCCACCATCTTAAAATTCTTTAGCTATAAAGGCATGCCTCAAGATTTGCGGTAACATATCAGACTGTTCTCAGATACCTGGAGCATGCATCTTTAATATGTCAAGTATAAGACACACAGGAATGAAGGGGATAATGAATCAGTAACCATGAATTAACACCCCCCCCACCACACACACACTATAGCTGGGGTGACTGACTGGGGCCCTGACAGCCGTCAGTTTACGCACCTCCCCAATCCCAGCTACCACTCCACTCTTGCGGCCAGTCTCCAACCTCTTCTTCCTTCCTCCAGCTTCCAACTCCTGCTCCCACTCTTGGGCGTAGGCACTGCAGCAGGAGGGCCAGGCTGCCAGTGTTATGTGTGTGGTTGGAAGCTACTGGGCTCCATGCTCAGAAAAGTAGGGATCCAGAGTCCTTGCGTGGTGTGCTTCAGGTTGGCTGCCTGTACAATGTTCCCAGAGGGAAGAGGGGTTGGAGTGCTTTGCATATGGCCAGGGAGTGTTGGGCTGTCCTGGGCACATAACACATGGCCAGGAAGGGGAGCTCAGGTGCATGCAGCAAGAGGGAGCTGGGCTGTGCATGTGGCAGGGGAGACCTGGGCTGCGCGCATGGTAGTGGGAGGTCTTGATGGGGGAAGAGGCTGAAGCACTCAGGTCTTCCGGTACTGCGTGCGGTCCCTGGCTGCTAAGAAGTCGGCCACCCCTGCTCTACAGAAATACTGTAATTCCCAAGGTTATAAGCTATTAAATTCATTCCAATTAATGGAACGGATCATTGTTGTCACTTCAATGTTACTTTATTTATGATCTTTATATTACAGGTGAAAAAGGCTTTACTAAGTAATGAAGTTGTTGTCTTACTAGCGCAACACAGAAATCCATTTCAGGCACATTCCTGGCCTCTGTGAAAAATGTTAGCATTTTATTAATAAGACGTGGTAAACTGAGAAATGTGCTATTTCAGAAGACAGCTGATTTGCAATAACTGTTGTGTATACCAAAAAGAGAAGAGCAGGAGAGCAGAACACACCACATTTACATACATGAATAATAAAAAGTTTACAGACAAAAAAAAGACAGTCATTCTACTTCCTGACTGGCTGACAGCTTCACTTTAGCTGAGAAATGCAATAATACAAGCTATGTACATAACTGGCAGATATCCAGGGCTTTATGAAGGCAAGTAAGTTTTGGAGTCAGCTTTAAATTAGTGCCAAAGATACAGAAACAGAACTTAAGCAGAATTAGGGCAGCAAAGTTACAAAAAGCTATGCAGCTTGGCTCTGCTCTAGCAACCACAGTATGTATTAGGCATCTGACTTGGTTTGCTGTTTCTATTTCAGCACACACTATTCCCTAGACATTTATACTTAATGTCTTGGGCATTTTTAAAAATGACTGAGCTTGAGCAGCTTGGCACCTAACTCCAAGCTCCACAGCAATCCAAATTGGTGCTTGGGAGCCAACTAAACTCAAGTCCCCAGAGTAGCTACAACAGGCTCAGCCCACAACACAACCTAGAAGAGTACTGAGTTCAGCTAAAAACCATAGCCTAGGATGGTGATGACACCATTCCCCATTTTGCATAATGCTTAAAGCATTTACTCAGGCCCTCCTCAACCCAATAGGATTTTAACTTGCACCTTAAACCTTCCCAGAACATGACAAACTCCCAGTTTATAGAATTGGGAAAGCCTTCATTCCTAGTGAATGAGATGGGGAACTGGACCACCGGGAATGCAAGTCACAGGACTAGAAGAATAAGCAAGAGAATGTGGGAAAGCCTTCGGCTCCACACTCCCAGCTCCCCGGACTGCTCTACTGAGAAACCTACCGAGTCAAGTTCCATCCTGTTGGCTTCCTTTCACCTGACTTATATTCGGCTTCCCTGTGGCCCAGCTTCTTAAGAAGCGGTAGAGGATGCACTTTACCCACTATACTACAGCGTGATGGTCAAAGCACTCTTCTATTAAGACTCATCTGCAACACAGCAATAATCTAGGGATTCAAAGAGAGACCAAAACCTCAGGACAGTTTTTACTGTCTGGGGTTTAAACACTGATACACAGAACTGCAAGATGACAACTCCTGGAGTGTAATTTGCTAATCACAAACTTATATAATAGATTACATTCTAACAGTACTTCACAAAAAAGAGAGACAAGTATCACTGCCCCATTTTAAGGTGCAGACGTTCAACTCACAGACCCCAGACTTCCTGACCTCATAGCTCTAGGATTATTAGAAAACAATTCCTCCAGCACAGAACTCTTGATGACAGGAATAACATACTTGTCCTCAATAGTCTCTACAGAGTATATGTTAATCTTTTATGCCTCAAGCTTAAAGCACATGTACCTCATGTCTCAAAATCAGAAGTAAGTGTCAGGATTTAAGGAGTTGTAAACTGCCTCTAACCTTATTGCTTTAAATAAATGTAAATATGTAAACTTTCACTTCATTATTTTTAAGCTGTTGGTACTAGAAGGATAAAAACCATGGTAAACGAGCTTTAAAGTGTACTGTATCATATTTACTTGAATATAAAGAGCGCTGCAAAAAATTATATTCTATATATGGAAAAATTATACATTTGTTATAATTTTCCATGTGTAGAATCCAATTATTGGAGATTTGCCTTGAATTTGTCCCTCTCCTACTGCTACAGCAAGGAAAATAAATCTGAGGGGTCAGGTAGCTCCCTTGCCCTCTGCCCCCACAGCTTTTTTCCCCCTGAGGTCCCTTCCCCCCTCCTTACTGTCAGATGTTTGTATCCCTGAGCACATGGAAGTGAGGGACAAATCTGAAAACCCTGACTTTCATACCTGTTATACTTGCATATAGGGAAATTATTACAAGTACCCATAGACTTAGCTGATCCAGAATTAATGAAGTTTAACTCTTAAAACTGCTGTAAGTTTTAGCACGGGTACTCCACATACACACTTACAAGCAGCACTTTTGTACCTATACCTCTCTATAGGTACAAGCTCTGTTATCCGGTATCCCTGGGGTAAGGGGATTGCCGGTTATGTAAAAACTCAAGTTATTTGAAACAACCCAGCCGGGTTTTCAGATAACGCAGCGGGGGGGTGGGAGGGATGGCAGTGGCTGCACACGGAGCAGCGGCAGCTGCAGGGTGCAGCGTGGAGTGGCACTCAGCACAATGGAGCAGCAGCAGCACAGGGTGGTGGGTGGCAGCAGCTGCCGTCATGTGCAAGTTTTCCCCCACCCCCTTCCCATGACCAGCCAGCCATAAATTCCAGTTAGTAATGTATTCTGATTATTTAAATGTCAGATAGTAGGAATTTTACTGTATCCATATATCTATATTATTTTTAAGTACAATTTTTCATGTTCCAAGCCAAATCAATTCCAAATCTGCGAGTCATTCAAGAACCATACGTGGCCCTACTACTGGCAAACATCCTCCATCTCCACCTGGGGATTCAGATGCTTCCAAATCATTTGGCGGGAATCCTACCTACAGGTCCAAGCCTGGAGGCTTGGAGTTTGTATGCCCCCAAGTTTCACTTGCCCTCAGCCATATGGCCACATGAGAAAGCTAGGGAGGAGTCTCTCATTTCCACAAAGTGGGTGTAAAGTCAAGATCTTCCCACTGGAAATGAATGTGGGAGGTTAACTATACATCACCTCTGCGGATACTACCCCATGCCAGAAAAGTAGTTATCCCCAGTGACTAGGAAAACCACCTTAGTAGTCACAGTATTTCCCCTGCCAAGTAAGTTGTACCTCCTTATATAGAGTACAAATTAAGCATATTAAACCAAAGCCCAAAGGTTCATGATTTACAGTATGGGCCCCAGCAGAGTCAACAGCATTTCAAGCCATGGTGACCCCAGCACTGCTCGGTATGTGTGTGTACTCCAGATACCCCAACAAAGGATCCATGTGCTAATTAAATCCCCACTCATGACTGTAACTAGGTGGTCTTACAATGAATCGTAGGATTCTCCAAAAATGTATATGCAGATGAGGTGCAGGGCAACCTGATCTGGCTCCATGGCACGGAGGGTGGACCTACACTGAGCATATACAACAGGCAGAAAGATAAACTGTTCGGGACCCTGTTTGGTGATGTTTGATAAACATTTAAGGCTGATGAAGAAATAGGACATACTAGAAATGGGAAAGAAAGGCACAGCTCAGCTGTGAAGGTGAAGAGGAAGTTGAATGTATTCAATGTAGTAGCTCACCATGATGTGAAAAAGACATTTGGCATCAAGGGGGATTGTGCACAATGGGCACTATCACATATCTTACTTAGATGGGCTGTACAATTCTGAACCGACTTGTCCCAAAACACCATCACAAAAAAATAAATAAAAATCCAGTATGTTTGGCCCATATGGGCTACGTGTTTTATATTTGAGCTCAGGGTCATCTACATTTAATCAACCTCATAGTTGGCTTCCATTACTGAACACATGTTGCTTTTGGCAGTAGTTTAGCGATAGACAATGTATTCACTGAGGTTTCCTTGTATGCAAATGTAAGATGAGGGGCTCCCCCTCCCATGCACTTTGGAGGAGAAAAAAACCTCTTGTATTTGAGTAGATATGGTAGGTGACATTTGGATGGAACAGGAGAAATGACTGTGATGAAAGCCTGAGGCTGGAAAATGTCCACTGTATCCCTGTACTCTCTACCTTGAATTCAAAGGATACATCTTGTGGACAGATATACAGGACTGTTGATGCTTACTGTTAGGGTATGGACTGGTGGTCCATTTCCACAATAAGAATTTCCAGTTTCATGAAAAGCACGGGGAGAAGGGAGCTGTACAGGAATTCCAGTCCCTTGACGGGAAAGCTACACAGTTGCCTCAGAGGCAAGCAAGAGGCAATGGTGCTGCTCTTTGGGTCCTCCTCCATCCCCAGGGGAGCCCAATGATAGACAGCCTGCCCTGATACCAGGCTGTCAATGAGTAGCTGCTCTTCTTGCCCCCCTTCCCCTCCCCACCAAGCATGTCTGATGCCTCTTAATCAGTTTTGATGAGTCCAGATATTGTTCAAACCTGGCAGCAGAAAGGTTCCAGCAGAATGCCCCGACAGCTGGCCTCTGAGTAGGATATCACAGAGCCTTGGAGTGAGAGAGGGAGAGCAAAGACCTGTGGGGTACTACTTGCTCCAAGGTAAGTGTACAGGCAAACTCTTTGAAGAAGTTGCTGGTTAAAAGGGATAACGCTTTTTCAGGGAACAAATTATTTATTGCATGAGAAAAACCTTGAAAGCCTGTATGCTAGCTTTTAATGTTGAGAAAAGCACCTGTTCATGGCCTTAATTACAAAACAAAAAAAAAAAATAACACACAAAAAAAGAGTGCGCAAACCATTAACCATTTGACTTTTTGAACTAGAATAGGGCCAAATTAAATTTACTTAAAATGTATCTTTAAATAAGGAAGGATCACTATACAAGTCACTTGCATGTTTTAGACCCAAAGTAACTCTTCTCCTATTACAGAACTTGAGTACAAGCTAAAATGAATGCCATTTCATTGTATTGGAGCTTATGTAAAAAGAACCAAAAATTATTAGTCAGAGATGTGCACCATGCTAACCAGACCTTGATTAAAGCCTTTTAATACTGAATTATTTTTCTTCAAAAATAAAGAGTAAACAGTTATTCTTACAGTCTTTTACAACTATCAACTAATTTTTTTCTGAACTTTTGCTGCCACCTTGTGGTGATTATATTTCACATCCTCAAAATTAATCTTGTATAAAATTCTCTTCTTTAAAGACTTTAATCTTTTCAAGGGAGTGAGATCATGACCTGTTAAATTTTAATTGAAGACAAGAAGTGCAACAATTTAAAAAGTTGTGCAAGAAATTTATCATACTGTATCAATACACATAGCAAGGAAAGGGTTACATGGGCTTTTTAAAAAGAGATTATGGCACCCATAATTAGATTAACACATTTCCAGAACAAAACACTATCACGAAAAGTGCTTCAGTTGCCCTTTTTTTTTTTTTTTTAAAGCTGTGGGCAAATATGACTGCCAAATATGACCTTAGATAAAGCAGGCAGGCTTCAGGCCTTCCCACAACAACTTTTTTAAAGCCCAGGAGAAGTCTTTCATGATACAAAATGCTAAAAAGATATATCAATGCACTGATCCTACGCACTGAGCCATGACACCTGTGCACTGATATGGAACTCTACTTCTGCCAGTGGAATACCACACAGGCAAATCAGAATATTAACGGACTGTGTCACCTCTCCACTAAACTATTAGTTGCCAAAAAAAACCCAACAAAAAAACCACAACACACAAAAAACCCAAAGCCACCCCAGAAACAAACCCAACACTGCTACCTATGTTAGGACAGAAAAAAAAAGAAATATATACTGTAACCTGTGGACACTTCAGTGTGAATGTAGTATGCTCATAAAAACAATTATCCAAATTCAGCTGAACAGAATAGTTGAGCTAATGACTGTTACATGCCACAGAACCTTTTAGTAGCATTAAAGGTAAGCATTCATGCTATTTTAAAAAAAGTCTCAATACTTCAATTCTCATAATTATCCTTAAAACTTTGGGTTGAATATTGTCTACTGTATCATACCTGACATCGTGCTATCATTCACTGATGGTTCTCTTATTAAACCAAGAGTCCACACTGTGACCCTGTTTAGGTTCCAATCCAACAAGAATCAGCATGAGGCAATACATATGAATTTCAAGCTTATACACAATGTACTTCAGTGCAGAGATGTGTTTAAATAGGCATTACACCCAATTAATAACCAAGTAGAACCTCCCCCCTCAATAAATACATGTGAAAATCCTGACCTCAGATGCCATCAGAGACCAGACCCTTAAGTACCAACCAGAATGTAACTGATTACAGTTAGTTTGAACATGTTCTTGCTCAGGGTGACCTTACAATTCAACAATGCAGCGTTTCACTCACCAACTCTCTCAAAGCTGTCTGGGATGGGGAGCGGGGAGGAAAAAAGAAATCATGGGAGGAGCTAGGATGGCAAATCTACTCTTTTAACAGCTAGAAATTTACAATACTTTTTTCAGATTCTTAGAAAGCTCTTAATTTACACCATTTAAAGTTATTCTGGCTCTTTTGCTGCCAGACCTGGAACATCATTCACCTTGGATGCCAGGTCTGTAACAATCAATAAAAGACTCTGTAACATCACGACTAGATTACTTCAATGCATTCCAGCCAAAAAAGTCCGACAGACATTTGAGGCAACAAATAATTATGAAGGTGTCTGAACAGACAGAATCTGTTAAGTTGTACTGCAAAAAGCAAAAATTTGTGTGGGTGATATTTTATACCATATTGATTGTTTGTCTCAACATAGGATGACTAGATGTGTGGGTGTTTGGTACCAGTGTAACTAACAATCATCATATATTATTTCATCTACAACTCTAAATACACTTGATTTTATACATGGTTCTGTTAGCAAGTGACACGACCTTGTAACACACACACACACTCCCCTTTGGACATGCCCTTTACTGTAGTCAGAGGTTTGACTGCAACACATGGAGAGGTTTCATAGTTTCATAGATTTAGGGTCGGAAGGGACCTAGTAGATCTTCTAGCCTGACCCCCCGCCAGGGCGGGAGAACAACAAAACCCCAAAACAAGAAACGGGACTCAAATGAGTCCAGCCAGGTAGGCATCCAGCCTCTTCTTAAAGACCCCCAGGGTAGGGGCCAGCACCACTTCCCTTGGAAGTTGGTTCCAGCTCCTAGCCGCCCTAACTGTGAAGTAGTTTTTGTGGATGTCCAATCTATACCTCCTCTCCATCAACTTGTGCCCATTACTCCTTGTTATGCCAGCGGGCGCTAGGGGAAACAGCGTCTCCCCCAAACCCTTCTGGTCCCCCCTAGTGAGTTTATAGACGGTCACCAGGTCCCCCCTCAGCCTTCTCTTGTGGAGGCTGAATAGGTTCAGGTCCCGCAGTCTCTCACTGTAGGGTCTGCCCTGTTGTCCCCGGATCATGCGGGTGGCCCTCCTCTGGACCCTCTCCATGTTGTCCACATCCCTCTTGAAATGGGGCGCACAGAACTGGACACAATACTCCAGCTGTGGCCTGACCAGCGTCGCGTAGAGGGGGAGGATCACCTCCTTGGCTCTACTCGAGATGCACCTGTGGATGCACGACAAGGTCCGGTTAGCCCTGCCAACCATGACCTCGCATTGTCGGCCCATGTTCATCTTGGGGTCAATAATGACTCCAAGATCTCTTTCTGCCAGAGCTAGTTTTGAATTAGCCAGGAGGTTACCAATAGCAATGCTGCAGTGGTACTCCAACAGAAGTACATATTTACCCTTTGAATCACAGGTTTTATTTAGACTAGGAAAAGGATCACAATTACATCAGATGTAGCCAGTGCAAGCTTCCTAAACCTACAGCATAGATGTAATGTAACACTTTTAACATAAGTTCAGCAGCCAGGTAAAACTGCCTCCTAGGCAGGGCTGCATCATGCACACACTTCTGCTGCATTAGGGATTTCTGATGCAGAACAGGAGAGCTGGTTCTGGCTGTAGTCCTCCCTTGTCCAGTTCCCCTCAAGCTTCTCTCAGAAACAGAGGCACAAGGACCAGTTCTACTCACGTGCCTTTGTTTCTTGGATAGGCATAGTGGGGCTTGATTAGGAAAAGCTACAGCCTGAGCCAGCTCACCCGCCCTGCTTTAGGGTTATCTGACAGCCCTAATTTAGCACAAGTGTACACATGCCCTGGCTGCGCAGCAGGCACATTGGGTAGTTTTACCTGGATGAAGTAGCAGCAGCTCCTGGTTGAGAAGCGCTGAGTTAAGCTGAGGCAGCACCAACAGCGGTCCTCAAACAGAGATGCCATCACATTAAAAAAAATAGTGGAGGCATGCCCCAACTCTGAAAAGGCTGAGAACCACTGTTCTAGGAGCTGTTCAAGGATGTATCAGTTACTCTCTTCTCGATCAATATTAACAAATGGTTGGCAAGCTTGGGGAAGCCATCCATTAGGTACGGACAGGGCTTGCTTTATTTTTAATTCTTGCCTCATTTTCCAGATAACTCCATAACAGTGACCTGCTAAGAACATTTCCATCTATTCAATGGAGGAAATGCATGATGTATGCTTAAAATAAACCTTTCTAACATGTATAAGCAAGATTTGCTAAAAAGGTACAAAAATGGCTTCAAATCACATCAGCAGGTAAGCATTTGATAAACTTTTAAATGAAATGCTGCAGTTTTGCTAGAGCTATTTCCATATAATAAATACTTACTTCAAATTCTTTAACAAAATAACGTATTTCTCCTTGGATCACCGGTCTGTGATCCAGCAGTCGGGAATGAATTTCACCAACATCTAGAACAAAAGCAATGGAAGGGAATGGTTTACTTTTCCAAACACCCTGGAGCATAGGCAGGGAGCACTTTAAAGACAAGGGACACTGCTCTCCAAAAAGCCCACAAGAAATCAAAGGATGCCGCGATCATATCAGGCAGCCTCCCCCACCCATCAACGAACCCACTGACTTGCAACAAGTGCCACAAGAAATAAGGTTTTTCAGTTTTTCTCCCCAGTAGACAGATCTAGCAGCTGCTTCTCACCCTCCCTTTTAACAGGCAAGGTACAAAGCAGAAGGAAACCAACACTGAGGACAGCTTCAGGCACCAGCAAAGGCACCAACAGATCCTTGGGTTTAAACCTGTTTAAAGCGTCATGCCTTTGAGCTTAGTGAGCTTTTGCTGCAGCTGCCACTACTGAGAAAAAAACTGCACAAAGACTAGAAAATGTCAAGTGGTTTAATTCAGGGCTGATCAGTCTGCACAAAAACAGGATTCTGGAGGCAGCTGTTTACACATGAAGATGAAATGGCTATTAACTCCAATTAGCTACCATCATTCTGAGGCACTAATATAGATACTTCTTTAATACTTCCCATGGGACAAGGGGGCTGGGAGACAAACAAGGCACCCGTTCCTAGCCGAGATCTGCACCTCTCAGTTTAAGCAAATCAGAGGGGCCTGCCACGCACTTGAGTCCAGCCGATTTGAGACCATGTGTGTTCCAATGGGTGGCTAACGTACCACAAGCTAAAAAGCAGCCAGTCGGCTGGATTCAGATGCCAGTGCTTGGTCTGGCAGCCAGAAGCAGCTTCAAAGGAGGTAATGCATTGGTACACTTGCACCCCATTTAAATTCCTGTTCTGCCCATAGTTTCAAGACAACAGCCCGGCAGTAAGAGCGACCTTTCACGTCAAGCAGTGCTGAGAGAAATCGACTGACATCATGTCTCATTATAATCTACCTGATTCCTACTAAACTCTTTATTCCACAGATGTTAACAGCCCTCTCTCCTCCTGTAATGGTTTTAGTGTTATGCTAATTAAGCCATTCTTCATTTGGCAATTCTGCTGTCTGTTCGCTGCTCCTGGTAATGTAGCTCCTATTTCACAGCCCTGCAGACTAGAGTTAAGAACAGTAACTTGGCACGAGAAGAACTTTCAGTGAAGGACGGGATGCACTGTCAAGATGCTCAAGGTGGCTAGATTTTGTTTTATGAATTGGAAGTTACATTTAAGGTTCTTACGCTTAAATACATTTGATTCTAACCACAACCAAACTAAAGAAACAACATCTTTTGACTCTGTTTTGCCTAGTTTGCTGTGGCTTTTTAATACACAAGACAGCAAATAAATGGACAAGCCAATAAAGTTAATGTGTATTTTGGCTTCAATCCTAAAATTAATGATATAGCCCTAAACCCTTCTTTTTAAGTCACTTCTTTGAAATAGTCTTGACATAATACCCATCAAGCTACCCTTTGTTCTGCCGTGCTCTATTTGCTGCTCATCATGGAGCTCTTATTTCAGTCCTTTAAGCAGTTTTTAACTCCTCCTTACAAAAGATCAGTGGAGCTCCTGGTTTCTTATAATTTACCCAGCCCCTGGCACCCTTAAAAAGGATCTCCCAACACTCACGGTTGTATAGCAGCAGGACAGATCCAGAGGTGCCCTTGTACCCCACTTTGATTCCTGCTCCACCCAAAGTTGCAAACCAACTGGCTAGCAGCAGCAGTGGCGTTTCAAGTCAGGCAGTGCTGAAGGGAGTCATTTGACTTCTTGGCTCATTGTTACAATGATCCCTTCTTAAGTCTTCATTCCTCAGGAGTTAACAGTTTTGCCAGGTGTACAGTAATTATTGTATTTACACAATAATTTCAACCCTGGTATGATCAATAATAGCAAAAGGGCTCAAAATATCTGATAATCTTCAAGGCAGGTCACTGATGCAGTATTATACAAAACCCAAGTCAGTCTCAGGAAGCCTTAACTAACTCCTGGGCTTGCTGTCAGCGCTTTCTTATGACGGCTTGCCTCGAAATAAAGAAATGCTTCAGCTCTGATGACCCAGTTCTCACTCACTCACTGGCAACTTACAATGAGCAGTATAAAGTGAATAAGAATTATTTGTAGACTTATTTGCACATTTTCCAGAGTACGATGGTTTTTTTCCACAAACAAGGTAATTTTGAGCTTCTACACAACAATTTCATATTTAAGACATGGCAACACTGAGGGTTAGCGACCTCTCTCCTTTCTCATGGCCCTGCCGCGCCACCCTCCGCTCTGCCCGCTGCCTCCTGGCCCCCGCCCACGGAGCCCCCACTTCCCTGCCCTGCCGCCTGCTCACCCCCATGGAGCACGTTTGTTGCGGCTCCCACCCCAAGGCGCCCAGGCCCGGCCCCTGGGGACTAATCCGAATGAGCGGCCCCGCGTGTGAACAGCGGCCCCGACACGAATCAAGCCGCGGCCGCCCCGCCCCAGGGCCCTCACCCTTGAGAATGGGCTGGGCGAGCCCCGCCGCCACCAGCGGCTCCCGCTTCTTTCCGCCCGGCAGTGGAGACTCCCCCCTCGCCGCCTCCACCGCACCGGCCCCGCTCATCCTCCCCCTCACACTACCGCGCAGGCGCAAACAAAAACGCATGCGCACTACCCCCCTCCGCAAAAGCTCTCCCCCTCCTCCCAGCGCCTCGCTCTCTCGTCATTGGCATGAGCCGGTCCCTACTTGAAAGACGCCGGATGATTTGTGGAGGGAGGGGGGCGGGGCGGGGCTGGGGCTGGGGCTGCTGCGCCGTCCCTCTCAGGCTCTTCCCCTGTCACGTGAGGAGCGGCAGCATGACGTCACCCCCGCGAGGCGCGCCCGCTCCGTGGAACTGAGCGTCCGGAATTGCCGTGGCAACTGGTCCCGCCCTGAGCCCCCTCCCCGCCTAGGCGCCTGGATCTCTTCGGAGACTCCCTCTGCCCTCCTCGCGGAGCAGCTGCCTGCACCCGCCAGCGGCCAAGGGGCTGGGGCCAGGGGCTGGAGCAGGGGCCGGGGACCGGGAGCCAGGGGCCAGGGGCTGGAGCTGGGAGCCGGGGGCCAGGGGCTTGAGCCCGGAGCTAGGGACCGGAGCCGGGGACCAGGGGCTGGAGCCGGGGACTAGGGGCTGGAACCAGGGGCTGGTGCGGGCTCCGCAGGCTCCGGGGAAGTGCTCTGCTCCCCCGTATCACGGCCGGTGGAGCCCGTGCTAGCCCCCCGCCCCAGTCTCCATCCCTGCCATGCCTCACCTTGGGGAGGAGCCGCTGCCTGCCGCAAGCGATGCTCTGCCAGCTCCGGGGAACTGCTCCGCTCCCCAGCACCTTAGAGGGAACCTTGGCTACTGTGCAGTGTTATTAGGCTAATGTGCATTAAGCACCTTGTGTAGATGCACCCCCCCCAATATAGATTAACTAGGCAGGGCCCACCCTAGGGGTGTGCGGGACCTGGGGCGTATCAACCTGTACAGGGCCTGTGCAGGGAGGAAGGTGGTGGCGAGCAGCCGGAGTGTGAAGCTGTCAGCATGTGGTAGCCTCACAGGGTGGTGGCACCCTTGGCACTGTCTGTGGGGCCCCCCAAAGCATAGGGCCCGGGGCATCACCCCAGTTGCCCCCCACCTCAAGGGACGGCTCTGTAACCAGGTATAGCCCATGTCAGCACACATGCCCACCCATGGGTGGATCTAGGATTTTGAAAAGGGTGGGGGGAAAGTGGCACAGTGGATCATCACATATAACACAACTCATATTATTCCTCCGACTCAAAAGAAACTTAGAAGCTTTCCTAGTACATCAGGGGCCCAGGGCTGTATCATTCATTTTCAGATTGAAGCAAAAAATAAATATATCTTTGTTGGAATGTGTATTCATTTGCAAGATTGTATATTAAAAAAATACGACAAAGTAGGCAATATAGACTCAAGAGATGTTTCTTTAGTCCTGTGCTCATTAGAATCAAATGTATTGAAATGTAAATGTATTACATGTAATTTCAGGTTCATAAAAAAAAAGCAAGCCTTCTTGAGTGTCTTGACCATGCATACAATGCATCACTGAAATTTATTTCTACACCTGAGTTAATGTTCACCTGAGCTAATGGTTTTAACTAGAGTTAAAAACAGTCTGCCAGGACTGAGAAAGAGGACCGATGTTACTAGGATCAGCAAAGGACAGCAAAACAAAGAATAGTTTAATTAGTGGAACGAATGTTAAGACCATTAAAAAGGTGAGAGAGTTGTTAACACTTGGGGAATGAAGAATTTAGAAGGACTCAAGCAGATTATGAGCCATGAAGTCAAGTGTCTCCCTCGCTGCTGCCTGAATAGAAATGTCGCTACCACTGCCAGGCAGCTTCTTTTAAACTTTGAGTGGACCAAAGGAATCAAAGTGGGGTGCAACCACACCACTGCACATCCCCACCTGGGTCTGCCTCTGCACACAGCAGGTGTGAACAAGTTGAATGTTCTCACTTTTAGGGAAGAGCCTCAGAAGTTACTCTGGGTGATAGTCAGAAAAAATGTGCATTTTTTGTCTCCCAGTAAAAGATACGTTTACAGTACCATCAGCAGTTGGACTCTGTATTCTCTGCCATAGTCTTAAAGAAAGGCACCTACTTGGAAGGGGTCAATGGCATTTAAAAAACTGCAAAAATGAAAAGGTCTGCCTATGTGGTATTTTTTAAAAATAATTTGAGACACTCAGTTTTTCACCAAGCATTTTCAAGTATGTTAAAATATACTCATTAGCTTTCTTCAGTGTTTCTTTATTACATGTGTATAGTGCAGGGGCAGGCAAGGTCCAGCCAGGGGGCCATACTGGGCCTGCTGCAGGCTCCATTTCCCAGCAGCTCCTGCCTGCATCACTGTGACCAGTTTCCATGGAGACCCCAAAAGTGGCAGGGCCATGACAGCGTGGGGCCAGGGTTTCCATGGAGATCAGCCCCAGCAGCTCTAGCAGGGCACACATCTGGGTGGGGAGCTGCTCTGGGGCTGGGATCTTGCCACGGGAGCAGCATGGTCTGGAGCTGGGACAGAGCTGTGATCCACTGCCCCAGGCAGGGGTGCACAGGCAGTAGATCATGGCTCTGCACTGGCTCTGGACCATGCTGCCACTACTGCAAGATACCTTACCTACTACAAGGAAAAATCTTTTTTTTATTCATTCTGCCTTTCAAAAACAAGGTGTGTATTATATTCAAGGGCATGTTGTATGTGAGAAAACATGGTATTTTGTTTTCTCTCTTCTATTGTTTAGGACATGGCTTCATGCCTTATTTATTGTATACCAAGGCAGTACCACTAGCCACCAGTGGAGTTAACACCAGGCCTGCAGGTTCCTGCCCAGCCACTGCTTCTCTCTCTACTCCCACTACTGCTGCCAGGGTCTCTGGGCTTCCTCTCTCACCTTCAGCTTCCTTTTCCTGCTTGGCATGGGGAGCAGGAATGTCACAAACTCTGTCTGCTCTGCACCCGCAAAAGGCTGCCAACCATTATATTAACTGATAGCAGCGATCATCTGTTATCCTTTACATCAGTGGTGGCAAACCATTTTGGCAAACATGTAGGGGTTAAATCCAAAGTATAGGATAGCACCTCTTTAATAAGCAGCCACTTCTGTTGCCCAGTGCTGCTGAACCCCATTGCCACTGGGACACAGAAATTCTGAATTTGGCACCACCTACTTTTTGCAGCTCTCACAGGGCCAAACCCTTGAGACTGCACTGATCCCTGACTCCTACTCTCCCCCACTCCATTCTGATTTCTATCCCCTCCCCAATCCCTTCTCCCCTTCACCCCCCGACCCTTGCCCTCCTCTGACTGCTGCTCCAATCCCTGCCCTGCCGAAATCCAACTTCTCAGTCTGGGAAAAGCAATTGCAGAGCAAGGTATTTTCAGTCCCTGAAGACCTAGGACAGGTAAGGGGTCACCTGTGGGTATGACACATGCACATTTTGACTGACACCTCAGAGCTGCAATGGAGCATGCTCATCTTAGATTCTGAAGAATTAATTAGTAAACTCTTAATAAGTCTCTACAGAGCACATACAAGTATTTTAGAAGCTTAGAGGACTTCACCAAATTTGTGCAGCTTTTCTACAGAAGAGGGAAAGGTACATTCCTGGAAGCAAAATCATCCCTCTGCCAAATTTCAAAGTCCCTGTGACAAACCATAAAAGCCCTAGATCTTCTCAAGTAATTCTTATTACTAGTTATCTTGGCAAAACAATGTGTTTTCCCTTAATCTTGTTCTGGGAAATAGCAAAATTATTTTTGTTGAAAATGTTCCAAAGGAAAAAAACCTGACAGACACCCAACATGGGAGATTTCAGCTTCAATGGTTAAAGTTTGGCAGAGTTATATCAATTAAAAACAATCTTTTATTGGGAAATGTTGGGTAACCTACAGCATCAGCTCTGCCTGTAGGTGCAATTAAAGTGTTGTCTGCTCCATAAATATTATTCATCAAAGGATGAATTCTGATATTTGACAGAGATAAGAAACATCTTAAGCTAGTATCTCTTGTCACTTACATATTTCAACCATTTGAAAGTCCTACTGGACTTTGCAAGTAATAATGATACTTCAATAATATTTTGCACTTTCATCCAAAGTTCTCAAAGCACTTCAGTATAATTAATGGATCAGAATATCATCGCTTCATTATTAACAGCTAGAGGTTATATACTGTTTGTCCCACTGACCCTTACTGACGATGACAGACATACTTGCTCAAGCACTGATTTTCTCCCACTCAGCCCTAGCAGCATCAACATATCATCGTTTGCCCCAGGCAAATTCCTCCTCCCATTCTCCATTCCTACATTAGACCCAAACTACCCACTTTTTGATGAGGGAAATTCTGCTGTTGGAAGATTCTAGTCACTTCATTTGAAAGGGACTTGTTTGTATCATGAATATCAGCATGTGAATGACAACACAGAATCAAGGGCAAATACTGTGACCAACGCATGCATAAATCTTCATAGCTACTCTTCTGAAATGATCCCTTCCTTGTTTGCTTTCTCTCCCTTTTTTAAAAGAAATCATGCCTTAGTTCCTGCATTCATGCTTTTTTTTGCTTTGCTTTCTCATAAAACCCTAACTTATTCTCAACACATACTGTAAAAATTAATGGAGACTAGGGGAGGTGATGACTATAAAAAGACAAATTTGCGGACTTCCTACCTGTCAATTTATAAGTAGTCATTGAGTCAAAAAAATATGGAAATATCTAGGGCTTAGAGCATGAAAATCAACATATGTAGTCATCATATATTTTGGGGAGGGGAAGATTTACTAAACGAACACTGTCACTTTTGCCTTGCAACGGAGCCCGCTTCTTTAAGGGATCATTGTGTCATTTGCTATTAATGTTAGCAGCATTCTGGCTTGCAAAATCTTCAGATTAACGTGCCGACTCCTGTCAGTTTTCCCACAGGCTGTCTAGAAATGATAATCCACTAAAGGATTGCTTCACCCAAGTGGCGGTGTCCAAGTCAAATGCTGGCAACAGGCAGGGAAACCCAAACCTGTTGAGGCAGACTTCTCCCAAGCTTCAAGGAATTGGAATGACAGCCCTTATAGGAGGGGGGG